TGATCATTTCATAAGAGAAAGGACATTTTACCATTTAAATTGTAAGAAGCACTTCATCTTAGAAGAAAAGGCGTCCTATCCATTGATATATTTAGTTTGATGAAAAACCATCTATGTGGTCTTACTTTTATCATTTCATCCTGGGCTGGTGAAACACTGTCACAGCTGAGCATCAGGCCAAGGATTGTGTCTTGAACCACTGGCCAATCTGTTGAAAAGCAGTGACTACATGTTTTCAGGCTGTTTGGTTGAGGCCAGAGGATTGAACTAGTGGTTCAGCCAGCATGAAATCAAGGCAGGAGTCCATGCTGGGTTAGATTAGCGGGGCCTTTGATGGAGGGGCATGTATGTGTTTGGGTTTGTCGTGCCAGGCAGGAGAGCAGTGGAATTTGTCTGAGTTGAGCTCACACATTGAAGTTATTGAGCGACTTACACGCAAGGCCATGACCTGGACTCCCAGCCGAGAGGCCCACGTGGCAGGGCTTGAGCTGGGGGAGCCAAGGACAGCTTACATCTGCTCATCTGCTTACGTAACCCTGCTTCCCAGTTCCCAGAGCCAAGAAAACACACAAGCCAGCTCAGCAGGGCTGAGGGCCTGTGGTAGCACACGCCATGCGCCGCACAGCACGGGTGCCTTGGCTCGGCCTGAGGACTGACATGAAGCCCTTAGCCCTCTGCCTGCTCCTGTAGCCCCTCCCTGCGGCCCCAGGCAGTGGCTCTGAGACCTGGTAGCAGGTCTGCTGCATGGTTCTGAACGAGGCCTGGTCATTGCCCTCCTGGAATCTGAATTCTCTGTCTTGCTGGGACAGAGCCAGGTGTATAGTGGAGCATGGCCCCTGCAGTGTGGCAAGAGGTGGGCAGGGAACTCAGCTGGCCTCCTGCCTGGCACTAGACCCAAGAAGGAATTCACCTCCAGGCTGGGGCTGCTGTGCACCTTCTAGTCTCAGAGGTGTGAGCCACAGGATTCTCAGAGTTGTGGAGGCTTCAGAGAGAGAAGGTGGGGAAAGGATTGCCAGACTAGGCAAGGAGGGCAGGACTGGGGGTCAGGGTGCTCTCGATGTGTTGGAGGCATGGTGGAGGTTGTGTGAGGGGCACAGAGGGGCACAGAAGGGAGCAGGAGGGACAGAGAGGCTGTTCATTGATAAAGCTCTGCACAAGCCCTTGGAGGAGCAAGTTCCTCGGCCAGCCTTGAACCAGGGTAGTTTTCATTTAGGTTCTGCCACATGCTCAGCAGGTAGGAACTGTCTTGTTCATCCTCCCTCCCTCCACCCACCCCTCCTTGGGTTGGCACACTCTTGGCACACAGTGGGTGCCCAGAAAGTATTGATTGAAACAAATTGTAAGTGGTCTTGATGCATATCACAAGGGGAGTTTGTATTGAACAAACATTTCAGAATAAAGACTCTGGTTTGGTATTTGGTACTTGATAGGCTACTGTGGATTGTCAGAGTGCTGTTTACACTTCCTGTGTGTGTGTGTGTATGGGTGAATGTGTGTGAGTGAGTGAGAGAGAGAGAGAGAGAGAGAGAGAGAGAGAGAGAGAGATAGAGAGAGAGAGAGAGAGTGTGTGTTGGTGTTGGGGACAGAGGGGGAATAGAAGATGGACCACCCAGGAATCAGCCCTTGTACTGGGTGGACAGCAGTGTCAGTGCTGAGGGAACCCTGGAGGAGAACCGAGTTTGGCCATAGGTGGTGATGGTGGTGGGGTTACATGAGAGTTCATTTGGGGCAGGTTGAGTTGAGGGTGCCCTGGGCATATGGCTACTGTGTCCTGTTGTCTGTGGGGTTAGAAGAGAGATGTGGGATAGAGACAGAGATTTTTGAAAACTGTCACATATTTAAACTGAAGACCTGGATGATAGAAGGAATAGTGTCTAGGGAGAAGGAGAAGAAAAAGGGCAAAGATGGAAATCAGGACAGAGGCTGAGAAAGCCTGGGTAGCGATATAGGGGGACATAGGTGAGCATGATGCTTGGTGATCAAGGCTTCTCGTCCAGGACCCTTTCCTGTACAGGGCACTCATTTCTTCCTGCCTGCTTGGACATTCATGCTGTCCGTGGGGCAGGGAAGGTAAGAGCAGAGATTTGTCAGAAGATCTTGCTTTGGGGCCCTGCTCTTCTGGTTTACCAAGTGTCTCTGAGCATGTCAGGGTGTTTTGAGACCTTAGAGATCATCCAGTTCAATCCCCGTGATTCACAAATGGGGAAACCAGTATCCTCAGAGTAGATGGGACTTGCTCCAGGATCATCCAGCATATCACTGGTGGAGCTGGACCAGGGCCCAGGCATCCCTTCTCCTGTCCCAGCGCTTTACCTCAGGACTGCCTTTCTGGAACCCATGATGGGGCACCATCTGAATACTTGCCAGCCTGCAGGTGCCTACTCCACAGAGGGTGGGCAGGCCACATGTGAATTCCTGTCTCCTGGGTTGGTTTCAGAAGGTGTAAGCAAGTTGGTACGGTGACAGCCCAGATGCTTCTTGGGTTCCCGAAAATGGGGTTATGTTTAGCAGCATCTTCAGAACCAAAGATGGGGTGGGGTGGGAGCTGCAGATGTTGCCCTCTGAAGTGAAAAGAGCCCAGTGACAGATCTTCTTTTCATGTTTTTCACAAGTTCACTGTACAGCAGGGCCTCCCAGGTTGGGAGTTGAGCAGCCCAGGCTTGGCAGACCTTGTGGGGAGGGCGTAAATGGTGAGAATCCCCAAGGACCCCCCTCACCTGAAAGCCCAGGGCTTGTGAAGATGAGCCATCCAGCTCTCTGGTGCCCAGCTTGCCCAGTAGGAATCACCCGGCTCCCCATGTATTATCCATCTAGGTCCTTCCCAAGGTCTGCAGCATCAGACTCTCTAGGGGAGGGGCCTCAGATTCTATGTTTGTACTAATTGCCTCAGGTGATTCTGGGGACAGTTTGGGGAAAACTGGTCTAGGGTGGCCAGTGACTTAGTCCTAGAGCTTAGTGCCTGCTCACCTAAGGGCAGCCTGGGAGGGTGGAGCCAGGTCATCAGGCAGTCTTGTGAGGGACTGATCTGCTAGGGCCCTGTCCTTCCAGGAAGGGTGAGCAGGGCTTTTGGAGCCCTGGGGATCTGCTTTCCCTTCCCCAGAGGTTCTGCTGCGACAGCTCTGTAGTAATGAGAGCGAAAGGACAAAGCTTGATTGAAGCCCGTCTCTCGGTGCCAAAGTTTGCTGGTTAAAGAACAGAAGGAAGGGCATTTTTGGCTAGGAGAAAAGTATGGCTATAGGTATGGTTTATAGTAATGGGGAGGGAGACGGAGCTGAGACTGATGGGCCTTTTTGCCACGCTTGGGGTTTGGCCTTACGTTGTACGAGGCACACAGCCTTACAGCCACTGGTGAGTTTTAATGGGAGAGTGATACAGTCAGAGCCATGTCTCAGAAGACAAAGAACTCATGGGTACAGGTCCTGTGCTGATGGTGTGGGGCCAGCCACAGAGGGAGGGAAGTGTGAGGGGTGCACTGGGGCAGGGAGAAGAGGCAGCAGCTGGAGCAAGGCCGCTTTTCTCAGACTATTCAATTCAGAAGGGTATGTGCTCCCTGAGGCCAAGGGGCGCTTGGGGACCTCATAGTCCCCAAGGAGAGCAGACAGGCCTGCACCCTGGGCCTGTGGGTTCTCACCAGCATGGTTCAGTTGAACTTTGGTGTGAGCTTGTGGTCGCTGTTCCCATCTCTGTTCTCTAGGTTTCTTCCTTTGTTCTTGTGGCTGGTTTGCTTCACAGCTGAAGCTGTTTAGACTAGAGTAACAGTTCCCAAAGTGTGTTCCCTGACAAAATGGTTCTGTGGCCAAATAACTTTGGGAAATGGTGGGTTAAACATAGTGATGGGGGTTTCTTGACTGCACAACTTTCAGAGCCTCTGGTGTGTGGCATGACTTCCAGAAGCAGGATTTAATATGCAGGGCTCCCACCCGTCATTGGCCAGGGGACATGCTTTTCCATCTAGCGTCTTGCTGGGCCTAATGCTTCCTGGAACCTGCTGTGAGGGAGTCCGGTCTGTGGAGAATACTAGGAGCCTGGGTTCAGGTCTTGGCTCTGTCTGACTCCTTACGTTGCTGGGACCGCACTGCGTGTGCCACGTGCCCAGTGTTTTCACCTTTTTCTCTTCCCTCTACTCCTGACCTGCCACTGTCTCAAAATTCACCATCTGTGTCTCGTCAATTTTTCTTCTGTGCCGAGAGTTCTCTTACTAACTCATTTCCCTCATCTGGACCTGTGTTCTTCTAGGCCGGAAACTTTAGATCATCCCTGATTCTTCCTCCCTTCTTCACCCTTTGTCACTTTATCCCCCACTGTTACTAAGCGTTCTTCTTTGGTGTTCTTTCTTGCTGTTTCTTTTTTTTTCCCCTCAGTCTCCTCTGGGGCCTTATTGGCTCTATCCCTCCCTGAGTTTGGTTCACTCCACATCAAGCCCCTTCCTGAGACATGCTCCTGAGACTCCTCCACTCCTGCTACCTTCTCATGTGAAGCTGATTCCCTCCACGCTGGCCTTCGCAACATGCACATGTGCACATACACACAAACACACACATCCCTTCCTCAGTTAGGCTTGATTTAGGGAGGTGAGGTCAGTCATTTGTCCAAGGCCACGCAGCTGGGAGGTGGCAGAGCTAGGCCTAAACCTCAGGGTTTCTGAGAAAATGCTTCCTCATCCATATTCACTATGTCTTACAACAGCCTGTTGGGAAGTCTCAGCAGGAATTATTTCCACTTTACGCTGGAGTCTGAGGGCAAGATGGGGTAGGGGTGGGGTCCTGGGCAGGTGAGTTCCTCACAGGGTGACCGGTATCTGGGTTAGCCCAGCACTGAGGGTTTCCTAGGGTGGTTGGTCACGCTCGTGCTGGACATGGTACCATGAATACCCTCTCCACAGCCACACTGACTCCTAGGAGGAGATGTCTCCTCTGCACCTGCAGCCTGACCATTTGATGCAGCCTGTGGAGTGGCAAGCCCTGTGGCCTACTAACTTCTCCTTCCCTCCTCCTCTCTAGTTGGCCCCATGCTGATCGAGTTTAACATGCCTGTGGACCTGGGGCTTGTGGGGAAGCTGAATCCGAAGGTGAAGGTGGGTGGCCGCTATACCCCCAAGGAATGTGTGTCTCCTCACAAGGTGGCCATCATTATTCCATTCCGCAACCGGCAGGAGCACCTCAAGTATTGGCTATATTACTTGCACCCAATCCTACAGCGCCAGCAGCTGGACTATGGCATCTATGTTATCAATCAGGTGAGTTCTGGGAAGATGGAACGAGAGAGGGGTGTGTGTGCAGTGTGTGTGTAACAAGGGGAGTGATTTCATAGATGCCTGGCATTTTGCAGTGAGTAGCCAACCCCACCACCAATGCAGAAGAGCTAAGTGCCATTGTGCTTGCTTACTGCTATCAACCCTGTTAGCCAAGGGAAATTGCTGAGGTGTGTTTGTCTATTTGTTTTGTTTTTGTTTTTTGGAAGTAGCCTTCCAGCAAAATTGAGAAAAAAAGACAACTCTAATTATCCCAAAGTAAGCACTGATTATTTCCCATCTTTGTATAGCTGTATATTTTCCTTTTAAAAAGAAAGCCACTATTTAGATGTCAGACTTTTAAGCAACTTTGAGGTTTATCCAATCAGGCTGTGTCTTCTGAGGCACCTTAGTTCAGGCTGCATGCCAGCCCCTGGCGAAACATGTCTGGAGGAGTCTGGCTCGTGGGCCATCTGAGAGTCACGTGGACTGGGCCAAGTCTGAGCAAAGAGTTTCTTACTCCATGTCTGATCCCTATGTGTTAGGCTTTAGCCCTGCTTAGGAAACCAATGCTAAAGATGTGTCAGCCTTCATCACCATGACCTGGAGAATCAGATTATCTAAGAGGGATTTTTATTGAAATAAATTTATTTCCAACCTGAGGACCATTATTAATTTTTTCCAAGAGCATAACTTTGGTATTTCAAATTTATCTCCAGTACTTAAATACATATTTTTACACTGTAACCTAGGTGCAATGACACATCTCACTTATCTATGTACCAAATTTCACTGAAATTCATTTGAAGAGAAAGAGTATGCCCATTTCTACAAGGCCCAATGTCTATTTCAGGATAAATTCTGGGACTGCTTGAGGTAGTAAAATTGCTGGCAGTTTACAGCCTCCATCAAAGCTGAGGGACTGTGTCCATCCTCCTTTGGACCACAAGGGAAGCTGGAAACAGCAGTCTGTCCACCAAGCACTTCTGAGGACTGCTGTGGCATGGTGCTGTATCACTTGCTGCAGGGAGATCCTAAAGAAGTGTGAGGTCTCAGTCCTACCTGTCCTGAAGCTTTCAGCCCACTTCTGGCAAGTAGGATCCTCCCAGGGAACAATTTGTTAATAATCCCAAAGGTATATGATTGGATGGTGACTGCCATATGGTTTGGAAGCTCAGAGGAAGGAGAGAGGACAATGGCCTGGAAGAACCAGGATATAAACTAGGTTCTGGGAGGAGAGATGGGCATCTCAGCTGGGGCCAGTGAACGGGGCCTCAGGCAGAAAGGAACCTAGCAGGTTGCTGGAGATCAAGATGACTATCAGGGTAGGAAAGCACCAGAGGCTCTGAGACCAGGTGTCACAGCTGAGCCTGTCGGGTGGGGAAGAGCAAAGCAAGCCCTGTGACAAGGAAACTGGAGCTCAAGGTGGGAGAGCAGGTAGTGGGCAAACCCCTTGAGGATTTTTGAGTCTCTTGGCCAAGTGAGGTACAACTAGGGCCCTTATGAACACCTGCAAGCAAGACAGCCATGCAGCTGTGGGTCATTTTGGAAGAATATTGGAGAATGTAGGAGAGAACAGGTAAATGTCCTGCAAAGTGCAGGTCACTTCAATCAAACAAGTATTAGTTTAATTCAAGCCCTGCGATCAAGAAACATTTGTCTGATGCCAATGAGCACATATTGATCATGGCAAGATTCAGGAGCCTATTACTGAAGCAACAGCAGTGAGCATCTGGAAGAAGAAGCCACAGTCACCAGGAGCCAGCAGGGATGACTAAGAACCAGCCATCCGGCTGCCTCTCATGTCTCCCTGAACAGTTGTTATACCAGTCCATGAGTGATATAATGTAGACACCATGCTGTCAGAGCTTATTCAGCAAGGCGTCTGTTGGTATCCCTGATTAGAAGACAAATCCACCTGAGTAGAAGACAGACAACTGTGGTCTGGATGGCATACAAGTAGATTAAAATATATAGCTGGTAAAGAGGGTAAAAGAGAGTTAATGATGATGCCAATTCTTTGAATTTAGGTGGATATGGTCAAGGAATACTGGAGGAGAAGATGCTATGTCTAGATATTTTGTATTTTAGGTGAATGAGAGACTTCCCTGTTCAATTATAAAGTCAAAGCAAATACTGGACTAGTGAAATTTAGCCTCCAGCTTAAATTCCTGCAACACAGTTTCCATATTCCCCGGGCTTCAAACAACAGGTTTCTGAATGTCCTCCACCAGCTACATGCTCCTGCCTGCCCCAGTCCAAGTTGGTGGAACAGCTAAACCAGCCGGCTCAGACTAATGGCACCAGTGTGCTAGCTGCCACCGGCACTGCCTGAAACCGTGTTCCTCCCAGAGCGTGTTTTCCAAAACGGAGCCACATGCCCTCAAGGAGCACGCGCTTGTGAAGCAGGTCTCATTCCCGCAGAGCCTCCAGAGTGTTTCCCGAGCTTGTCTAAGTGGAGAACTGTTTTCCGAGAACCCTCTTAAGTGATGAGTGTTTTGTGAATCACACTTTGGGGGAAGCGGGCCTAAATTAACACTTCCTCCCAACCACCCCTTACTTTCTCTAGGACACTGGGAACTTGCTATTCCTCTTCCACTTGTAGCTTAGCATCAGAAATATTTTATTTTAGTTTTTCACACATAGATACGTCTTTTCCTCTCCAGTCTTGTCAGTGTCATCTTCCCCCCCCCCCCACACACATGGTTTTGTTTTGTTTTGTTTTTTCTTTTTATCCTTTTTCTGCTGAGGGTTAACTTTCCACCTCAGGAGGATCTTTTCCTCTCCTTCTCCCTTTCCCCCAGCTCGTCGTATATCTTATGCTTCCATTCCACCCTGACAATCTTTCTGGGAAAATGTGGTCAGAGTCCAGATAATCAAGTCAAAAAAAGCTTGAAGTCTTCCCTGCCTTTCCAGTAAAGAATATTGTGTAATACATAATAAAGTGATGATAGAAAATCCAAACCCCGAACCCTGAAAAGAGAGAGGCAGAGGGGAAAACATTTGGAACATGCACGCCTATAATTTAGGAACTTCCTGTGTTCTCTGTTTTATAGCTATAATGTAGAAGAAGAAGAAAGGGATTTTACAGCACCTGGCTTTGACCTTTGTGCTCTGTTTGTTGAGCAAATGAACCTTATGAGGTATTAGGCCTCATTAGAGCCTCTCAGCCTCTCCCTGTCCCAGACACTTGCTGTCATTTTGAGTTTTCATTCACATACCACTTAAGATTAGATATAAAGAATGCTTAAAGTAGGGGTGGCCTCTGAGACAGCTAGTTCAGGGACTCCCAGAAAAGCTCAGTATTCTTTCTGCCCCATTGAAATGCTACACAGCGGCCCTCTTCAGCAGGTCACAGGAATGCTGTTCTACTTGAAGTGGGTGCCATGTCCCATTTCTACCTCCTTAGCGTCCCCTTCGGTCTTTGCTGGGATTTGCCCAGACCTCTGAGGCCAGTGTGAAAACTTCTGTTCCATGTCACCGGTGAGGAAACTGAGGCTCAGAGAGGGAAAGTGACCAGTAGAAAGTCACACGAATAACAGCAGGCTGCAGCTCAAACCCCAGCCCCTGACTCCAAGTTCAGTGCCCTCTCACCGCACCACAGCGACTCTCCTGGAGGGTGTATAGCCCCTGCCCCCACCTGTTTCTCAAAGTCCAGATCTGGGGCTAGGAGAGAGCTCCGTGCTCAGACTGCCTGGCCTCAGTCCTGGCTCTGCCGCTTCTACTCAGGGACCTTAGGCAGGCTCCTTAAGCTCTTCAGACCCCAGTTTCCTCCTCAGGGGAAGGGAAGGGTATAGCATATACCTCCTGCAGCTGGTGAGCCCTCAGTGAGCACCATCTGTTTAGCACCAGCTGTTTGTCGCTTCTCTGCCCTCCACTCTTCCTGCCTGTTTCCTCTGCTTGGCACGGTAAATCCTCTCGTCCTGTCCCGCCCCTGCCTCACCCCCACTCAGTACCAGCATCAGCACCCTTCCTCCTATTGGTCTGGACTCCTTGGAGTTAGAATAATGGATAATGGTGTGAGTCCGGTGACAGAATCTCAGAGGACTCAGGGGCCATGTGACGCGTCTAAGCTGTTCCAGAGTGGAGTTGTGTCTCAAAGCTCCACTCACAGGAGTGAACTATCACAGGCTTTTATGGCTCGTACTCCTGCCCATAGTAAGCTATTAACCACCCCCATTTGGTTAGGCCCCTCTAGTCACCACCACAACTTCTGTCTCACAGTAAGTATATTGCAGGGGTGAGTAGGAGAGGCTTTCCCAGTCTAGAAAGAAGAACAAGCTGTGCTCTTTGTCCCCAGGGTCTCCTCCACCCCTCCTCCCTTAGCTCGATGGCATGGGAGTGTCCCATTTGGCTCCTAGCACCCTGAGACACAGACGTCAAAGTCCAGCACCTGCAGCCTTGATTGGGGGGGTGGATGCTGAGATTTCATAGCAAACGGGGGACGACTGCTGCACTTCCTCATACCTCAGGCTGGAGAGGAAACTGTGCACCACCCAATGAGGAGGGAAGGCAGGTTGCCACCTGGCAGCGTGAGCCCCACATAAAGGAATGCAGGATGTCTGTGGGATTACCCATCGTAAAAATTACAAAATAGGTGAGGAATGTAGGTGCAGCTGGCCAGGTGAGTTTGCCATGACCATATCAGAGCTGGTACCCAGGACTGGTCTCTCCAATTTCATCTGTTTATCTTCTGGCACTTCTATTCTTCTCCCTCAGCTGCCTGAGATCTTTCTAGTTCTCACCATGTCACGCCCTCTTTTAAAACCCTTCAGTATGTCCCCAGTGCCCACCGGCAAGGGTCTAAATGGTCTGAAGCCCTGAGCTTAGCATCCGAGATAGTTTGCAGTCTGGCCCTAACCTACCCCTAGCTACTTCCTCCTCACCCCCCTTTGATGCGCTCTGTGCCACAGCCACTCTGGACTCTCCTCTTCACCCAGACACCTCTGTCCTCCTCCTTGTGCCTTTGCTTATGCAGAGTCCTCTATGCCTCTGGTGGCTTGCTT